GATTTTTGAGCAACTTTTAAAATTTAAAGAAGGCAAAATTTTTTGGGAAACCCTGAATACATTGCTATTAATGTTATAAAAATTAATGCTGCCATAAAACTACTTTTTCATTTGTTCATATTATTTCAGATCCTTCTGGATGGTGGACTGGTAAAATTGGACGCAAGGAAGGATTGTTTCCTAGCAATTATGTAGAGGAAATGTAGCTTTAGACACTTGTAACAAGTTACTAGTGTGTATTATGATAGGCAAACTGATTTATTAACATTTATTTTTATTATAAAATTATTTTATACACAGTCGGGGTAAAATCCAACTGTTGATTAAAAGTACTTCTTAATTTAGCCTGATTCAATCTACTATGATAAAAACTCTGTAATTCAGTAGTAATTATAGACTTGTTAGAGTATTTATGATGAAAGTACATGTACATACAGGAAATGATTACAATGAAAACTTAAAAACCACAGTAGGAGGAGTATTTATTATTGTAATAAAAAATGTGTCAAGTTTCTACAAGAGTAGTACTATAAAATTATAATTATAAAGTCACAGCATTAATTTTTATCAAAAAAAGTAAAGTTTAAACTTCTGCATAAAAACCAGATATCTCTTTAGATTAATAAGCAAGTGCTGTTTGTTAAACTAAAAGTTAAGTAAAACACAGTAATTTAACAAAAAAGTAGTCTCACTTTTTTGCAGCATCATGAAATCCTAATAATGATAAACTCTCCTTTAGATTGTCACGGCTAACGTTAGGATTTCTTCTCAGCATTGCACGTAGGACATGAAATCCTTTTGTTTGTGCATCGCTGTTTTCGTATTTTTCTAATTCTGAATGAAGGTATCTTGAATCATCATCATAAACTTCAGCAAATTTTTTGACATGCTCAGGCTTGAGATATCTAGCTGATCGCAACAAGTCATTATCTAATATGTCACTTCTAATCTGAAATAAAAGGTCAATAAGCATGTTAATTATTGATGTAATTGTATTAAAGACAATGCATAAAATGGACCACATCTTACATGCTCTTGAGGTTGACTTTCTTGTTGAATTTGAACTTCTTGTTGTCTTTGCTGCTGTTGTCTCAGCTTTTGTTGTCTTTGCTGAGGTTCAACTCTCTGTCGTCTGCGCTCTTGATGCTGATCTCCTGATTGTGTTTCATGCTCACCTTGATTAACAATAACTTGATCATCAGGTTCTTTACTTTTTTCATACTCCTTTATTCTATTGAGTTATGTAGTGTTAATTTACTTCAATAAAAATTTACAACTAATAACTTAACTTTAATTTAATAACCACATGCACTACTATTTAAGGAAGAACCCAATTGTAATTCAGTTAGTCTTAGTCCTAGTCTGCTAGTCTAAATTCTCGAGCACTCATCATCTTCAAATTCTCAACGCTTGACCTCCTTTCGATCTCCTATCAGACTCTCATCCGACTCTCATTCAATTCTCTCGACTATCCCAATCGATAAGTCTATAATCACACACACATCTTGCTCACATACATATTGTGCTTATCAATTTCATCATTATTAATATTCACTGTCTCTTCCACTCTAACTCTCATCTGTTATTATTAAGTGTGTTAACACATACATTTACAGTTGAGTTTTGTAAATTGATTTCTTATTATTACAACGCAACAGTTACATGAAATAAATGATGCAAAAGAACAAGCACAACTTACACTTCCAAGACCATTTTAGTAAACTTTTTGCTTTGATCAGCTTTTGTAGCTTCTGTAACTTGAAACTCAATTGGTTCAGTTCCTTCAATGCCAGGAGAAGACTCAGCACCTGAAGGCGGGTCAAACGTTTGTTGACGAGAACTTGTGCTGCTAACCTGTATAATGTATTAAAACATAAAATCAAGTTACAGCTTAGTTTCTTTATATGTAGGTTTTAAGCATTGAAGTGTTAAGGCCAATAGCCAATTCATACTGCTATATGCAATGTCATTTGTAAACATAAGAGTTCGAAATTTTTTAAACTCATTTGTTCATGCATATTTTAACGACCTGGGAGCGTAGCCCCCAGGTCGTTCCTATAATTGAATTCACCGTCACGCTATCTATATATATTTATTTATTTATTTATTTGTATGTCCACACTTACATTTCTTCTATACACGTTGTATTGGAGAAATAACAAGCCTTAGCAACCACCCGCCCACGCTCCTTTACGTGAGTGGGTGTGGCCACGGCAAACAAAATGACGGCTTACACGTGAGGCAAAGTTAAGAGCTTTCTAACAGCAAGAGAACATAGAGATACTGTCTAAAGACGTCTCTAGAAGCATTAGAAGGTAGAGAGAGCCTCTATAAGTCTTAATAATGACAAAGTTGTACTTGCAAGGTGGTGAAATCAATTATAGGAATATTTTTTACACTGTTACGCTTGTTATAAGGGACTTTTGGTATGAATCAGTCTTCATGGTAACACAAATAAAAATTTGATAAAAACAATAATCTACTTCCTAAATTTTAAGAAGCAAACAACGTACATGTATTGGGCAAGGCCCTTACTACAGTATAGTCAAGTAGTTCAATTCATTTGCTTGTACATGTAAGTCAGTGCTGAGCCTAAGCTTAATGTCCTATGTATACATGTAGACTTACACTGGGAGGTCTAGACAATTGTACGTAATTGGAGTTTTGAACTCTACATACACAAAGAAGAAAATAAATAATGCAAAAATTTATACTCTTACTGATCAGCAAGTTTATGAAAGTTAACATCCTTAAGAGTTTTAACTAAATCTTCCCTACGTCCTCCTCCCCTATTCCACTCAAAAAGCAAATAAAGCATTGGATTATCGTGATGATCTTGTCGAATTGCATTCAACCTCAGAAACATATTCAAGCCTGCAGCCACAGAATCAGCTTTGTCGCTAACTCTTTGTGATATGATAAGCATTTCTTGTTCACTAATAGACACTGGCACCTGTCAAAAATAAAATAACAATTTTTTTGATTTTTAACTCACATTTTGAGCTGTCTTGTCTCCTTCAGGAAACCAATATGATTCTTCAAGAGTTGGTCGACGTCGCATTTTACTTTTTTGACACTGAAAAAGTAAATCAGCTGTTTGACCCAAAGCAGCACTGATAATGTAATGAGGCTCCCATTTATCACATGCTGTACATTCAAAGCGAAACTTCCTTTTTATTTCAATTGTTTTTGAAGAATTACATTGATTAGCTAGAGACTTATCTACTTCACAGCAACATCTTTCTAGTAATTTTTTTAACTCTTGGCATGTATTACTGAAAGATGTGCTAGCATAGCACTCAACGCTAACTTGAATCGTATCACTAAGATCAGTGATAGTAATCTTGATATTTGGGTCTCCAAACATGATACGGTTTCGAAACACGCCATACTTTTCTTCAAAACAAATTTCGTATGATGAAGCATTAGCTGAGGCATTGGCAAATGATGCAATAAAACGAGTGAAGAAGCCAGGAGGAACGAAATCAGTGCTAAAAGTGATGTGAAGGTTAGTTGCTCGGGCAACTGGCTGATCATCAGGAATTGACTGTGGAGATGAAATATCATACAACTTAAGTACAGCAGGTAGGAAATATTGCTTAACATTAGCAATGTAATATTGATCCGTTTTAACTTCAGCAGCAAGTCGAAAATGAACCAATAACTCCATCAAGTCATCAGCCTCAATTTCTTTGCAATCTCCCCAAACCTCTTGATACAAAGGCTGGACAAGAATACCTTTCTCACATAATGAACTCCACATTGATCTAGCTTGTGTAGCATCTTGGTTTTCTTTGCACTCAAGTGTAAAAACTTTTCCAAGAATTTCAACAAACCACTAAGGGTTAATGATAACTCTGTCTTTAAGACCCTTGATAAATGGATAGTAAAGGAGAACTCCAAGATCATGATAGAAAAGAAGAGCTTTAGGAACATCATTGAGAGGAATCTTACATGCTAAACCAATTTCATGAGCCTCTTTTAAACTAATAACCTTCTTACCAAGCCTTTTGATAACTTTACGGAACAGCACCCAGCTGACTGGTGTCTTGACAATCAGCTTGTTGGAGGTGAAGTCGCTAACTTCTTCTCGAATGGTCGAAAAATTTTGATCTTCATAACGGCTTCCAGATCCGGCGGTTGTGTTATCAACAATTAGAACTTTCTTTATAAGGTAGGAAAAAGCTTCATTTCGGTATAAAGCACTTTCAATATTTTTTATAGCAGCTGTCTGCTTATCACCTTTTATCAAGTCACCATGTGTACCAATGCAATAAATACGAGGATAGCTGAGAAAGGCTTTTTTTTCATTGAGTTGGGCCAAGTGATGATGAATATTAACCATCCAATTAAAAAGCAGATTTTTAGTAGAAATGCTTTCTAAATTATCACACACCATATTTCCTTTCGTATTACGAATATTTTCCCATTTCTCATCAAGACTTTTTGCTGCATTAAATATGAGAAAAAATAGCGTGCGTGGTGTAAGAAAAGCTGGAAGAATCTCCAAAAAAACTGCCTGCCCTCCACAATCCCAGATGTGCATGAACGGTTGAGGCTTTATATCTTGTATTGGCACTGGCCCAATCTCTTGAGCACGTTTTATTGCTTTTTTAAGAAACAAATCAACTTCTTTTTTTTGATTTTCTCGAACTGATAATTCTGAAAGGCTCAGTGATGAATCTACTTTATACAATGACGAAGCAGCTACTGCAGTACGAAGATCTTCAGAGCCAGAAGATTTTTCATAAACTGCAGAAATTAAACGAGCAACTTCTTCAATTTCGTCATTTTCATCAACTTCTTTCCATTTCTTATCACTAAGCATGTGAGCACTGTACTGAACTGGACGATCACCCCTGACCCGAGGCTCTTTCTCACGATGATCTGGTGGACTCCGGTACTGCAGGGGAGTAAAATCTATATGTGGCTGTGGTTGTTGCCCTCCAATGAATCTTCTGGTGCTACTAGAAACATCCTCAGGATTATCTGGTCTATGACTTGACCTTTCATAATGATCTGGTGTAGAATAATAATCTGGCTTATAGCGATCTCGTGAAGGATAATCATCAGGCCTGCGGTGATCTGGTGAAGAATAATAATCCGGCCTGTTGTAATCCAGTGCAGTATAATCACCTGGCCTAGAGCGATCTGGTGAAGGATAATCATCTCGTTTTTTGTACTGATCAGGCCTCCTTCGATCAAATCGAAAATCATGTGGATCGTGCTGGTTTGGTGGTGGCATATTACCTCTCAAAGAAGTGAAGTCATCTTCATCTGAAGGAATGAATCGATCTGGTCGTGAAGGATCATCTGGTGTATCATAATCAGATCTCCAACTGGGAGTGTGTCTGTCACGAACACCATAATATCGCTGGTCATTATTTGGTTTAGCCAGACGTCTAACTGGTACTATGGAATGGAGCTCGGATACTATAGTACTGTTGGTATCTTTTTGAAAGGGTTTTTCCATGAGCGATCGAGTAAAACATGTTTTCCCAACCCCAGCCGATCCAAGAAGCATTATTCTAGAATAAGCAACTTCAACCTCTTTTTCTGCCACTTTCTTGTCATAACCTTCAATAAACAAATAAATAACAAAAATCATTAATGTTGGAAACCGTACCTATTTTGGGTTGCGGTGTGA